TTACAACCTGAATCCGCATTGATATCCCACTCCACACACACACACAACTGCAATATATTTTCCATCCACACGGAAGATTTTCGACTCGGGATTAGAGCCGGGTCGCCGCTTCCACATGGTACACTCTGCGGCCGAGTTTTGCGCTTGCGAAACGTGGGCCAGCGCGGAGGACGCGAAAATATTCGCCGTTGCGGAGAAAACTGTTTACGAACCCCTCGAGGATTGGGAAATTCTTCTGCAGGTCAAAAGATTTTTCCTCCTTTGTGGAGAGGAAGTGATACCGATGTTTTGAGCGTATTTTTAGCAGTTTTGATTAGAGGGCAGGTATTGACGAAAAGTGAACAAAAGATTACGAAAAATGATGAAGAACGATCGGGGCGGGCGAAAAAATAGATTGCTATATGTAATGTTAATCTTCGAGGAAAATATATTAAATAGTTCTAATTTTACATCTTTGTCCTCATGATGACAAAAATCGACAAGTTTTAATTACAGACAACAAAAATAGTTTTTTTGTCATGAATTTTCGACGTCCTAATCCGTCCGTAAAGTCGCTGGCGTAATTTTTGACGTAGCACTGGGCAGAAAAAAGTCAGGGGCGACAGCCAAAAAAGCCTATGGCACGGTGCAACTGATCCAATGGCAAAAAACGTATCATTTCGCATCCGGAAAGTATCAAAAATGTGGCAAAATGCTTCCCTCTCTAAGTGAAAAAAAACATCGTTTTGAAGGGCTTCCTCACAAAAAGAGCGGGCGCGCTTTTGAAATCGGAGTTTTTTCGAGAGGGAGGCATTTCGCCACATTTTCGATACTTCCTGGATGCAAAATGGTACGTTTTTTGCCACTGGATCAGGTCCGTCACTGTAGTAAAGATCTCGCTTGTTTCCGCAAGTAGCTAGATAAAAAATTTCTCGAATATGTCTTATCAGCCTGTCGGGAAAATAATGAGCGTAATGTCGCTGCGCGAATCGCGTCGCTGAAGTGAAAAGCAATTTCATTTTCTCCGCGACGCAATTCATTTTCTCGGCGGCGATGCGATTTTCGATGCGACAGAGTGCTCATTATTTTCCCGACAAACTGACAGAAACTTCTAATAATCACTTTTGCCAAGGCTCATCAAAATCTTTGACTCCTAATTCTTCATTTTTTGCAGTCTTTTTTTGCTTGAAAACTTTATTACTTTTACTTCCACTTCCACCTCACTTAACCCTCAGGGATCAAGCGTCAAGCCGAAGGAAGAGAAGACGTCGAGGAACGTCGTCTACCTTCGTCTTCATCTCAATCCCCTCCTCCGCGGCGGTCTCAGTCGCGCGGGTGCGCGTAGGCCCCTCCCCGAAAAGCGAAAAATTTCGCTTTCATCGCGGATCCCAACGACGGATTCCAGAGGGCGCAAGGGTCGAGAGTGCAAACGTGTTCCACCCGCCGCGGGCCCCGTCCGGATACGTCTCTTCCTTCGACGCTGTTGGTCGGGATTCTGTAATTCGTCGAGTAGATCTTCGCTTCTTGCCCCGAGGACATCGAAAAAACGAAGGGGGGAGTAAGGAGGAAAGTGAAGGTCGCGTCACATGTAGCGACACTTTTCGGTCTCACCTCGAGACCTAGTCGCGGAAAAAAGCCGGGGTTTGTGGTTGAGGCAGCGAGTCGAGTTATCCGCACTGGGCTCCATACTTTTGCAGCGCGTCGCAAGACGACTGGAACAGTTTTTCAACGGCTTCACTGTTCCAGTAGTCTTCGATTGCAGCTCGAGACTGGCCTATTAGTACTCTATATTGTAATGAAAAGCTTCTATGCAACGAATTGTAAGCGATCTAACCACTTTTCATTGTTGTAGTAGACCCTTGATGTAGAGTGATTCAAATGAAAATTGCTGAACGCAGAGAGTTCAGAATTTCTCTAAATTTTGCAGGCGTGATTGCTATAGAATACAGATCGACTAGTGAAAGTTTTATTTTGCTATTTCTAGGGCTAGCTGAGATATTCAAGAATCCTTGTAGACCATAAATTGTGGGACACCCTATAAATTCTAGAATATTTTTTTGAGAAATCGCCATTTTTACCATTTTTTAAATTTTGCACTTTTAGTACCTACTTTCCTCCTAAATGATCAACAACTGTCCTAGTTGTTGATCACCCAGCCAAAAGCCTTGCACTTGGCCAGACCCGGTAATTTTATTATTGGAAGATTCCGTAAAAACTTATTACGCGTTTATTACATTACTCATTGTCCGTGAAAAAATCTCTAAAGTCAATTAAACGCGAGACAATGGGAAGAGAGTTACCGCGCGCGCAAAACATTTCAAAATTTGATTTTCCACATTCTTTGCGGCCTACTGTAACTTCCGCGATGAGATTTTTGGTAGAAAAAAAGTTTTGATTTTTCACCTTATTTGGTTGGCCAATAGGATGGGGTTGATGTTACAGTAATCCCCGCACAGTGCAAAAAATTTCTTTAATTTTTCGCACAGTGCAAAATTAAAATTTTTTTTCGATTTGCACTGTGCATAATTCCAAAAATTTCTAAATTTTCGCACTGTGCAGAGCGACAAAATTTTTTTCGATTTGCACTGTCCAATTTTCCCAACATTTCCCCGTTTCCTCGGAAGAAAATTTCCGATCGCCTATGGGCACTTGCATCTGTCATTGTTGCTCCATTTATCTTGACCTTAACGCACTCGAAGCCGTCTCGCTATAAGATGGCTTCGAGCCGCGCAAAAGGAAATGCCACCTGCGGATAGTGTAAATGATAAAGTATCCTTTTGGGGGGTTGATTCAGGTTTTTTTGTGGGACCGTTGGGTTTGTGGAACGTCTGAGACTATCATGTCTCACGTGATTGTGTTTTGAGTTTTTTATTGCCTGAATTTTGAGATTTTTTGAGTTTTCATCTAATTTTGGCTTTATTATTTCTTATTAAGCCCTTTAACTATCTATGACGTCATTCTTATTATTCTCCAAGCAAAAATACGGTAAAATCAGACTTATTTCCCCTCCCACTCAAACCCAATGAGCTCATCAAGGCAGCTTTTCCTCAAATCGTCATTTTAATCAGCAAACATCATGTGCAACATAAAATTTTGATTTCCGCATAACAACACCTAGCCGGCTCCTTCCGGTCGCCCTCCCATTTTCGCGAACTCTCTCTTGTTTTTGTTTGTGAAAATGACGTGAGTTTTGAATAATTTTTCCGCCACACCCCTCCTGACTTTGATCAATTATGACGTACTCGATTGCTTGGGGCAAAAGTTGACACATAGGTCAGCGAAAGTGAGGCTGATCTAAAAGTGCGATAAGTTTGGAGGCGGGTAAAACTTTGGCGAACATGGCAATTTGGTTTAATTTGAATTTTAGGACTTCTTATTTGAGTTATGTCTAAATTTAAATGCTTGGAGAATAACCGCGCTTATCAGTTGGTGAGCAAAGATCGTTTTTTGAATTTTGTAGCCTAACGAGGTTTACCATGGAAATTTAGATTCAATTCTAATATGGGAAAACCTGACTATAACGAACGATCTTTTCGTTGGGCTAGAGGGGGAAAATTGCCAAAAAATCCCGTTTAAAGTATTGAGGATTACCTGGGTTCAATGCACACAAGTTTTCTACTGTTTTTTGATTCGTGAAATACCTATAATGAACCTCTGTAAAGTCCTCAAGTAAAATTTATAGGTAAAAACAAGCCTTTCTACAATAACTCTACTCTAGACAGGAAAAATCTTCTTTGATTTTTAGAGTCCATTATGAGCCTTTGTCCTATCAATTACTCTCCAGTCCAATCTCCTATAAGCCCTCTCCAAATCCCACAAATCAGCCCAAAAATCTCTGCAAACCCCTTTTCCCGCATAGTTCTATACACCTTATCATTGTCTGTGGTCGCCTTTGTATCCATCCCTTTCCATCTTCCTAAAACGCCCACTGTCCGATAAGGCTGCACCTCGCGGTCATTCCACAGCACAAATACAAGACTAATATCACTATCATATGCAACTAGGGGCTTTGTTACGTGCTAATAGCCGGGTAAATATCTCTGGAATAACCTGCAAAATTGACGCTTATTTTGGGTGCTAAATGAGCGTTCAATTGATAAGGGGGGATTGCGTTTTGGGAACGCGCGAACAGATCTTTGCCAGTTTTATGGGGATGAACTGGTGGCGAAAGGTCGGGCTGAGATTACCGGGATACTGTAGGACCATTTCTGCTTCTTATTGGGTAAAGTTTTGCGAGGTTTTTTTGAGATGTTTTGGGCCAATAGTATTAGGGAAAAGTCTCCAAAAAGGTGCCTTTTTGTCAAAAAAAAACTTTAGGCAAAAACTGGTCTGTTGATTTTAAGACATTTGACCGTATTTTTAACCTGGTTTAACCCATTGCCATCTATTTACCCACAAAAATCCCATTTTCAACTGTCCTCCGACTACATCCGTCTATTATAAATATAGTTAACCGTGATTCCCCTAAAAAAGTCATAATCTCACCTCTTATCCCTCCCACCAGCATAAAAATTCCGTCAGTTTACCGGGAAACGCGTAATTATAACAACATCCGCCCCGCTATTTCCACAGGTAGAATTTGAGTTCTAGAAGAGATTAGACTTTGGAGATTACCCGTTAAGGGACGCCTCTAAGTATGATACTGCCGCCGAGTACGAGGAATAGCGTTATTACTTAGTCGTTCCTTGGGTTATGTTTCATGCTAAGATCTTCAAAAAGTTGAAAAGAAGTTTAGAACGTTTGAATCAAATCCAAATTTTCGAAATTTCCGGCTTCATGATCCTCCGCAACCCACCGTATTTGTGCCTACAAATCGGGGTCCAAACTGCTCCCTATTATGATTATTGCTATTTTCAAAACGTCACTTTATTATTTTTTATCATATCATTTGAGTTTTTTTGCCGCAACCCACACCTTAATTTACCGTTTCCTCGTGATTTGAATGCATTACTTTTTAACAGAGTTTAACTCGCGATTTTTTTCAGTTTATGCCCTAGCTGGCCAGAACTTGAACTGGTACCATGTCCATTCCCGGTTCAATGAACTGCAATAATGGGATGATCAAGTCAGAGAATGATTACTACGACTGGGACAATTATCAGCCGGATGGGTAAGTCAATTTGAATTAAACTTACCTAGCAGCTCTCCCTAATGGTCCTAAACGCAAAATCCGCTAAATTTTTGGTCTTATCAAAAAATATAGTTCTCTATATTGCACTAGAAGGAAGACTTTCGGTCTGATAGGACCTTCTTAGCATGCAGAGACAGCCATTCATACTGTAGCTCGCTGTTTCAGTTTCTTGTTCGCGTTTGCTCATTGAAAAGATAACATAAGGACGCTGAAAACATTACTTTTCGAAATTTTTGATATAAAGTAACGCTAAATAGTAGCATATTATATCTATTCGCATACTAGTGTTTATGCAGCTAGTTTAGTTGAGATGCATTTAGTTATTATATTTGTAGTTTACTTGGCAGTTTAACTTTGTTTTTGCAATTTTTGAATGTTACACCAGGCTAGGCCCTCAGTCAGCCCTAGAAGTCCTATAATTAGCCGATATCCTACCATAACCGGCCGTTGCATCCTCATTAAACCCTAATCACCTTCGGCATTTGTTTACAACCCGCTGCAACGAAACGCTTGCACCGGCTGAATCGTCAATCTCGCTGCTTAATAATTGCATGCATCACATATTTACATTGACATCAGAAAAACAGAATCGCTTACGCACTTTAAATTGGATGAACCTGCAAGCGAAATTAAGGCGGATTAGCGGGATGGGGTGTGTCGCCGAATGTATAGTATGGGGCCAGCGTTTGGCCGAAAAGATTTTCGCGAACGCTGGATTAGCGGTTTCTTCTTCGGGCCGCGGTATTTTGGATTCTCTTTTTTTTTCGGCCTGGGAGGAAAATATTGAATTCTTGCAGGAGCACGGTGAGCCACGCCCCGCCCGACTACTTTTATCCGCCGTCGTTTCGCGTGGCCCACCCCCAACCGGTTCAGAGCCTACCGAACGCCGGCACCACGACGGTGGACACTCCGAACAAGTTCGACACTTCTGGAGACAGCGGTCTGAGTAAGTTGTCGTTTATTTTGGGCTCTGAAGAGTCACTACTACTGATAATGTTACAGTAACATTACATAAAGTTTAGTATCAACAATCAGTTTAGGAAGCTTTAGATTTGTTTACAAGTTTTCAAGATACGATGTGATATCATGCCCTATATAATGATACACGATATGATATAACATAATATCAAGTCTTTTCAATTAGCAATGATAAATATTTAGTTGGGATTAGGCATAATTAAATTAGAATACAGTATACTCATTAACACTAAGAATATTATAATATTGTTTTACTTACTACTTAATACATGCAAAATTTCAGATCAAGCCTTCTCACACAGCAAATACTCTCAACTGAGCGCCTTAACTCCTTCCACGGCGGATCGTTCCGGCTCTCTTAGCCCACCCTCACCTTCAAATACATCGGTCTCGATTCCCTCGACCTCGTCGGCCATGTATCTGCCACCGCAGATGCATACACAGCATCACGAGATGACCTACACGTCCAGCTCGACCTCACCTCAAAGCGCCGGCTCCATGGGATTTGATCCTAGCGAGATTTTCGGCTCAACCAAAGTCAGCGAATCGTCACTGACGCCCTATACTGACGCAACGAACTGCAAGAAATCCTCGAACCATATCAAACGGCCAATGAACGCGTTCATGGTCTGGTCTCAAGCGGAACGTCGGAAAATCTGCGAACATCAACCTGACATGCACAACGCCGAGATCAGCAAACAGCTCGGAACTCGGTGGAAACAGCTGAGCGAAGAGGAGAAGCGGCCTTTTATCGAGGAAGCGGAAAGATTGAGGCAACTGCATCAAAAAGAATATCCGGACTACAAATATAAGCCAAGGAAGAAGCCGAAGAAGAATGTTCCCAGCATCAAGGACATGAACTGCAATGAGGAGCGAGCAAAGACACAAAAACGGTAGGAGTTACTGGCCTTTCTGCCATTTTTATTAAATTTCTGTGATTTCTGGACAAAATTCTAGTTCATTTCGTCGACTTCAAGCCTAAAACAACATTTTTTCCTACCAAATTGCCTTCTAATATCATGTAGATGCTCTATTACTTCCTGGAAGACGTTGTAAAGGTCTTGAATTAAGCCTCCTTCCGCAAAAAATACCTCTCGGGGCTCAAGGTCGTCTTTTATCCGTCGGAATTTTTACGGTAAAGCGAACTCCATTTCGCGGTTGTTTATCCCGTATACGACAACAATTTTTTCTTTCTTTCTCGCCTCACACATCTCGATCGAATCACGGGCGAAGTGGAACGGTTTCGGTTTTCCCTCTTATGATTTTCGCAAAAAAATGTTGTTGTTCCGAGAAAAACGGGTAGCTCGCCGGGAAAAACATTGCGTCGGTGTTTTCCAGCGAAATTTATGAGCATAAGAAACAATAAAATTTGAGGGAAATGCCCCGCGAATTGATCCCTCAGGTCGATGCGTCAAGACCCGCGAAAATTAGGTAGAATGTCAACGAAACGTTGTGAAATTACACATCAACCAGCGTCGCAATACTCCTCAACCTGATAGAGAACATCCTACACAGCCAAGCTTTCTTTCAAACATCAACCCATCCTTCCCTCCGTTTTCGCAGAAAAATCTATAAAAAGCGTTGACCTATACCTACTAGGAGACGAAATGATGCCATAACCCACGAAACTCCGCGCTAAACGGTGGTATTTAGCATGAATAGACGTAATACAGGTATTATCATACCTGGATAATACCTAAAAGGGCGCTGGAGTTCCAACAAACCAGATCTCTGATATTACACTAGACACGTTCGGAGGAATACCTAAAACGGGGAGAAGAAATGTAAAACAAAGCAATTACCTGGAGGATAGGATAAAAATCCAACGTAGAAAAAATTTGTGGCCTAAAGTTAAACTAGAATTGTGGAAAACATCCAAAAATGATATTAACCATGATGCCCTTTCAGGTCCTTGACTCAACAAATTTCCCTCACCTCCATCGAGCCCAACAAGCAGTACAAGTGCTTCATGGGCGAGAACGGGATGGACGCCAACTTTATCTACCAACAACAGCAACAACAAGCCTTCTTCCAGTTCAACGACGAATCCGCGGCCAAGAAGCGCAAGAATGCAGCTCAAATGACGCCGCTCAGCATTGAAAGCCATCAAATGCCCACACCGATCTCATTGCAACCCCAGCCGCAACCTCATATGGCTCAAGCCGGTAAGAATTTACCCAAATTTAGCCTTTTTGGCCCAAAAAATAGGAAAATGACATTTTATACGCTGAAAGCTGTCCGAGATTTTCCAAAAGCGGATTGCATGGTGACAAGATGGTTTTAAAACCCGTGTGACGGTTTGAAAATAGCAGAAAATCAAGGTTTATTGTTTCAGACTACCAACATCAGCAGATGGCCATGTATGGACATGCATTCCCTTCCCCAACCGATACTCGCAACGCACCAAACACACCGGAATCCGGATTTTACGATGATTTCAGCCATTTTAACACTTCGCTGCACCCGAATCACATGAATGCCAGCATGACGGCCAAGTACCAAATGCCCAGCACGCCTGTTTTAAAGGTGAGAGTGGGTTTTTGATCAATTATATTGTTTCTGATGAGCTGTTTTCATTTTGAAAAAATTCATAATTTTTAATCCTATACCGAAAATTTGCATAATTTTTCGAAATTTGCATAATTTTGTAAACTTTGCATAATTTGTAAAATTTGCATATTCATTCTAAAAAAACCTTTTTTCAGGAAGAAATCCGCTCCTCGTCCTCGGGATCCTCAACATCTTCCCAAATCTATGGCCAGGAAGAGCCTCAAATCAACTACTACAACAGCATGAGCTACTACGCCGGCGACTACCAACAACAACCGCAGCAGTACATGCAGCCGGAAATGGGCGACCGCGACAACTGGATGATGTACCAGGACGGCGCCAAGTTCAACATGTGGCGTTCTTAGAGTGTTAATGTTGAAAATATTGTTAGATCTTCCCGAAATTCCGCAGCCAGTTTTGGTGCTAACCCATTGTGGCGCCATTGGAAATGGTCAAAGCTTGATGCTCGGATTTTTTATAAGCCTTAGGGCAAATTAGGATTTTTAGAAGGATATTTGAGATTTTAGCTGAAATTTTGTAAAAAAATTGAGATTTTTTGGCCTAAATTTTTTGAAAATTCAAAAAATTTTTTTTGCAAATTTTAAAATGAAACTTTGTTATCTTGTATAAGACTAGTAGTAAAGCGTGCGTAAAAAAATGAATTTTTAAAAGCAAAATTCAAAAAGATATAAGCGAGAAATATTTTAGTCACCATTTTTGACCATATATTTCAAAGTCACATATCTCAGCGCTCCCTGCAAATTGTTACCTAAAATTTTTAGTGATTGAAAGACACTCTCTGTAGATTATCTTTACAAAATTTCGAAAAAATCCGAGCATCGCGCGTTGAGGATTTCCCGGCCGGAAACCTGTAAATATCCAGCCCAATCACTGTCCTAACCGAAACAATTTTTGTTACTGTTTCAAGAATACCTAATTATAATTCCATTCGCAGATTCAACCTCCGATTTCGTCTTTACATCATACTCAATTTTCGCCCATTTCTTTTGTATACTGTAACAATAGCCATTGATTTTTTTTTGTCGTGTCGGTTAAGTACAATTTTCCCATTTTTTCTTCGTTTCCTTTATACCACAGCTTTTAATTATACCGAAATAAATGTTAAAAACTTTGTTGATATCATTTTACATTTATTTTTAGCGCTATCACTTTACAAAAATTTTTACAGAGGATTGCAAAAATATCCCACACCTTCAGCTGCTTCCTGTTGTTTTAATCCCGAGTTTGTTGTAAATAGCCCCACTCCCACACCGACAAATTCCGAAATCCGCCCCGACTTCTGCTTGCAACTTTGTGGAGCGCTTTCGTCGCGACACACAAAGCCCTAATCCCCCCAAAAATGGCCAAGATACAGGATTTTCGGGGCCACAAAAATGCCAAATGTTACAAGAGGGCCTTTATTCGAAGGGATTCCGAGAGCATCCGTCGAATAAACCCCAAGCTTTCCGGCATTTCATGTTTTCGTGTTGAGACACAAAGGCCAAAATAAAGGGAGGGAAATGGGGGTGAGGGATTACAGTGATGTGGTGGGAAAGGGCTCAAAAATCTGGCGGAAATCTTAAAAAATCTTGAAAGGTCGGCGTGGCAAAGATTTGGGCGAAAAATCAAAAGTCAGGGTTTCGTGGTGGGACCTGAAATTTCAAGGGGAAAATAAAATTTGAGGCCTCAAATGTGCTTAGAAATACAGAATCAGTTTTCTAACACACATTATAATTTTTTAGCTTGCACTATGCAGAAACTTTTGAGATTTTTTGGCCAAAAAAATATAAAAATTCGATTTTCATAACTAAAAATCAAAATTTTGTACTCAAAAATCACAAAAAAACAGTTTTTCTATCCGATTCGACTCAAATTTACTATCACCTCTTCAAAAAAAGGCAAATTTTAGCCTTCTCAAATTTTCGTGGTGAGACCCAAAAAAATTTTTTTTCAAAATCTTTATATCTCCTTGAATTTACAGCACAGTAATTTATTCAAAAATACCCGTAATTGAAAACGATAAAAGCTTGTTAAGAAAAAAATGCAAGTTACATAATATAATAAGTTAGTTCACCAATAAGTCAATAAATAGCACCAAGTAAGTTGTCAAAGTAACCGTATAAGTTGAGTAGTCAGATCAGCGTTGATTTTTTACCATCAATTTTACCATTAAAGTCCGCGGCGAAGTTCTCTAAAAAATGGTTTTATAAAAAAAACTCATTATTTTCCCGACAGGCCAATAGCTAGCGGGCACAATTAACAGAAACAATTTTTGTCGGCTTTAAATTACAGAAAACAGGACAAATAAGTCCAAAAAACGTATTTTTTTGGCCATGCCATTTTTCCTTTGCCATCGAAAAAGAGATTTTTTGTGGATTTATTCAGCGCTTCAATCAAAATTACAAATTTCTATCGACAAATTTTTTTTTTCATTCTGTCGGGAAAATAATGAGCGCTGAGTCGAAGAGCAATTCAACTTTGCGGCGATGCGATTTTCGCTGCGACAGAGTGTTCATTATTTTCCCGACAGACTGATAAAAAAGTCTCGGAGATTTCTGCAAAGCGCGAGCTGAAAATCTCGAATCTGCCTCAGAAAATCCCAACTTTAATTTCTTCCAAGGTTCTTCAAAGTCCTATAAAAATTTCCGACTTACTCTCTTTTCCTCCACATCAGATACTTCCGCCAAAATTTTTCAAATTTGTGGTCCAACTCTCGCCCGTCAAAGTATTCGATGAAGTCGAAGGGTCCGTAGTTGCCGCTGCAGGTCGCTTCTTCCAGGAAATACCAATCCGCCAGCACACTCAGCTTCTCCAAGGCTTCGAGCCGGGCGTCTATGTCAATGGAATCGTGCGTTTTTTTGACCAAATCATAGTCAGGTTCGCCTGGGAGGACATAGGAAAGCCCTGAAAATTGATCATGAAAAAAATCAAAAAAAAATAAATAAATAAAACTGAAAATTGAATTTTAGAGACTTTGCAAACAGACTAGTAAGAAATCACTTCGAAAACCGCATTTTTTTTTTTGAATTTTCAGCAATTTTCTACCTAAAAATCTTGGTGGTTGTGGCAAAGTTAAAGCTAAACCCTCGGATTTGCCTTACAAACTTTTGTCTTAACTTGTGCCAAGCTATGAGTAATTTCATCAAAATCTGAGGTCCGTTTTTTGGAAAGACGACCTTATTTTAGATAACAAACATTCAAAAAAAATTTTTTTTTTCAAAAATTATTAAAAATTTTCTATGTAATTCTATTGATTGAAGTACCAAAATAGCCCCTTCGTCTTCTACTCACATCTAAACTCCTGATCGAACACAATTTTGATGCAATTGTGAAGTCTCGCTTCATAAGATCCTCTGTCCGCAGGCCCTCCCGTTGACTTTACAGTGAACCCAACTCTTCGCAGACGTGACGGATATTTCCGATAAACGTCCTGTCTGAACTTATCCTTCGACAGGATCACACCTCCAGTTTTCTCGGCGTCTTGAAGAATCTGCATATCATCGTCCTCGCCATCGGGTAAAACCGTCACAATCTTCAGTTCACTGAGGACCTAAAGGCTCAAAATTCAATGCAAACACACCTACATTTAGAATGTCAATATTGACGGTTGTTTTATCCATGTCGTTGTAGTTATTCTTGAAATATTCTTTAATATAGACATGCACATCAAATCCGTAATGGAGAAGGTCGTAGACGAGAATTAGAATCGAAGTAGGGTTGAATTTGCTGGAAATACAATACATTAGCCATTTGAAGTTAAATACTCCAACATAAAGCTTCGGCCAACAGCTTTTTCCAAAAAATCCAAAATTGGCCATGGATAATATAAAAAATCGAATACTTCCGTCGAAAAAAAGGGCTCTCCCAAAAAAAGCTTTTAAAACCTCCTACTCGGTGTTATAGTTAATGTCCTTGGCCTTGTTCCCAGAATCGCCCATGAAATTACACCCATCAACAATAATTCTTCGTCGAACACCACGCTCCATCATTATGAATTCCTAAAGCCAGAAAATAACAAAGATAAAGTAGCTTACACTTGGTGTTATCACAGTTCGATAAAATTTCTCCTCATCGATCGCGGTTTCAGGTTTTGCGACCTTCGGTGCTGGAGGGACTGGAGTTGACTTTTGTCTGAACATGACTAGCTAAAATCAGGCAAAATTAATAATATAACCACGTAAATTCAAAGAAATACTCTATAAAAACACGAAGAAAAGGTCAAAGAAATTGTGATTCGACAAGAATTCATATAATTCGACAATTTAAATAGATTTTGAGATAAAAATATGCTTTTAATGTCAAGTACAATATAAATTATCGAAATGAAAATATAATTGGAGGTTTACCCAAAAAACAATCTCAGAATCTTGCAGGAAACCTTGTGATTGACATCTGGAAAAAAATTGATAGCTTTTTTCAAGAATTATTTTTCCGCGAGCTGCGCCCGATCTTTTCTTTCTATTTAGCAGTTTGCGCGGGCATTTTATACGAAACGCGTTGAAAGTTATTTTTATATCGTTTTTACTTACAGGGGAAGTAACAAAAGTGCGACGCTTAGATTTTAATTAAACATGGCACAAATTTAAAATATTTTTTTCTAAAGTATATGCGAGAATCCTAGCTCGCGCTTCGCAGAAACAACCGATATTTTTAGATCGAAAGTTAGCGAAAATTTGACACTTTTTGCCGAATTTCGGCACGAAAAGTTTCATGCCTATTTCTACCATAGAGGGTAATCTTTCCACAAAAAATTATTTTTTTCCGCACGAAACTGCCCAAGTATGACCAAAAAGTGTTTTTTCTCTGACCGCTTTCCGCGTTTAGCGTACTCTATTGGCGGCAAATATCGGTCAATATCCCGGCGGTGCTTGCAAAGCGCGGGCTAAAATTCCAGGAATTGATACTCAGTTCATGACCGACGTGTGTGCAAAATTTAAAGAAAATATGAGCGTCGCACTTGGGGTACTTCCCTTGTCAGAAAACTGCTTTTATAATTCTCTATTGATAAAAGCTAACTTAAATTTTACATTTATGACAAGCAAAACATCCAAATTCTCATTTATTCCACATTTTTACAGATTTCAACTTTTTCCTCTTTTTGAACTCCGGTTTAACAATGACCATGAATGACGTAATTTTAGATTGTCTACAGTATGCGAATTGGACTGCCTTTTGAGATTTTTAAGGGATTAATGTTCTCTTAGTCCATTACACGCTTTTGTTCCGAAAGAACAAGTTTCACGCCGATCACGTGTGCCCAGCCGACCATATTTCCTCCGGGAAAGACGCAATAACCGCAAAAATAGTGTTCCTTCTTCCGTATACAGATTCTGAATTAACACAACGTAATAAAATGATAAATGCCCTCATTTGATCTTTGTCTTTTGTTTTTCATAGCCCATTTTGCTCCCGACAAGTTAGTAATTCTTATCGACAAGATGATAAGGGCCGATTCGATGGAAATTTTATTAAATTAAGGTTCCAGTTCCTTTGAAAATAGGAAAAAAATGTTTCATGGATTGTTAGTTGCGGCATTACTCATCGGCGTCTCTTCAGAACGGTTTAGGTTTCCGGTAAGTGGGCTTTCGAGCGCAATTTCGTCATCGTTACAATTTGATTTTAACATCGTTAAGGTTAACAGTCCAGGAAAATTTCTCTGCAACGTAGGCAGCCAAAATTTTGTGATATTTCCGTATCTTATGAATGATATACTCCGCCGATTTAATTTGGACCAGTCTGAAATTTGAAAACGGTTATAGATATGAACTCCATTCCTTCAACAAGTTTGAACACCAGTCGACTCTATGTTCAACTGTAGCAAAATATTTCCTTTGCCTCGAGGCACAAGAAAAATATTCGGATTTTTTAATTTTGGCTGTCGAAAAAGTTTGGACCAGGGCAACAAAAATTTGCATTCCTTTATCACTGGGTGGGGTGAAGCCAGGATAACTTGTGAAAGTAATTGCGATTCCCTACTGGTTCTAACGATATGCTATTCCGAGATCAGCGCTGTGTTTAAGGCCCTGAGGGCAGCTTTTAAGGAAATTTCTCAAAATTCCAGAAATTTTTCGCCCTAGCGCTTGAGTAAGAAGCGTAAATCGTCTTAAATTAGTTTCAGTGCAACCACAGTATAGTGTACATCTAATTGGATAACGTTCTAAAATAGTTTTAGATCCAAAATTTTTTGTTCTTGGAGGATTTGTGACTTTGAAATTTGGGTTGGCGATAATTGTGAGGCCACTGCGCTCAAACAACTGCTAAATCATACAGCGTTTTGCGTGGTACGCATGAGGGGCATGCCACACTTTCCTTCTGTGTCAAAACAATATCCGATTTACACGAGACAGATGCACAATAGACCGAACACTTTGATAAAAAAATTTAAGAAGAGGGTGCTTACTTAAAAGTTTTCGAAAGTGAAAAAAGATGTTCCTATATGTATATTATACGTTTATTCCGCTACGAGGTGATAGTAAGACTTGATAGAACTTAATTTGATGCACATTAAATTGCTTTTTCTCAACATGTTTTGACTGGGCCAACGAAAAAATTTTTTATCGAAGTGTTCGGTCTATTGTGCATCTGTCTCGTGTAAATCGGATATTGTTTTGACACAGAAGGAAAGTGTGGCATGCCCCTCATATGTCCCAAGCAAAACGCTGTATGATTTAGCAGTTGCTTGAGCGCAGTGGCCTCACTATTATCGCCAACCCAAGTTTCAAAGTCACAAATCCTCCAAGAACAAAAAATTTTGGATCTAAAACTATTTTAGAACGTTATCCAATTAGATGTGCACTATACTGTGGTTGCACTGAAACTAATTTAAGACGATTTACGCTTCTTACTCAAGCGCTAGGGCGAAAAATTTCTGGAATTTTGAGAAATTTCCTTAAAAGCTGCCCTCAGGGCCTTAAACACAGCGCTGATCTCGGAATAGCATATCGTTAGAACCAGTAGGGAATCGCAATTACTTTCACAAGTTATCTTGGCTTCACCCCACCTAGTGATAAAGGAATGCAAATTTTTGTTGCCCTGGTCCAAACTTTTTCGACAGCCAAAATTAAAAAATCCGAATATTTTTCTTGTGCCTCGAGGCAAAGGAAATATTTTGCTACAGTTGAACATAGAGTCAACTGGTGATCAAACTTGTTGAAGGAATGGAGTTCATATCTATAACCGTTTTCAAATTTCAGACTGGTCCAAATTAAATCGGCGGAGTATACATAATCGAGTCAATGACGATAACGTAATTCTTATCACCGAAATCCGCGGAACGATTTAATAGCCGCAGTTCTTTTAAACATCGTTGAAACTTCAAAGCCCCATGATTTCTTTTGATCTCAAACAAGTGGCAAGAAAATTACGCCTGTTTAATAGTCTTTTAGATGTAACGATAAATTACACCGTGTCGCTAAATTAAGGTTCTGTTCCACCCTAAAAACCCATTGCTCTCCGGGAATCACACGTTTACGGATGTTTAGTAACACTAAGATCACAAAGTTTTCGTTTTAATTATTCAGAAAAATGGTACCCTTATAGCAAATTTGCAGAGAACGCGGTATACGAACATCTATTATTTGTAATTTGAAAATAAAATTTAATGAACTAGTTTCTACGCAATGTCATAATCGATGTTACATTGCAAACAGGTGCCATTTTGAAATTTTCAATTAACCGCACGAATCTATGGTAGCGAAATTTCCTTTATATTTATAATACCTCAAAAATTTGTAGTTGTATGGTCTAAATATGTTTTTCACACAATTTGTTTCAGAAGTAAGAAATGTCTTGCCATTTTAAGCTGCTTGAAAATGTCATTTTAAACCACTTTATAATGGCACTTTTAATGAATCGGTAAACTGAATAGTTGCTTACGCAGGCACCTGGATACAAAATATGAGTTCAACCTCGACCTGCGCTTTCTGCACATCGAGTAAAGCCAGCGAATCCTTGTCGTTTCGGCGAAGTCGGTCGTGTAAAAAATGAGTCATCTGCGGAAAAATCGTCAGCGTTGCAAACAAGGTTTTCAGCGAACAAAGATTTCTTCAAGGTCATTTACAGTATCCAGTTTTAGCCCATTTTTAAATTACCTGTTTTGTGATAATTTTTAAACTTTTGACTTATGTTTTTCTTTAGGTGGAGCAATGCAAAGAAGAGGTACGAGGGGCCAGAGAACGGTTAAAAACGGTCGTCCAAGACCTTGCAACAGAAGAATCTGAAAACCGGCTTGCTCGACTTTGGAACCACCTGGAAAAATTTGGGGCAATCAACACAGATCACAGTGAAGAGATCAACGAAGACTGTGGTGAAAGAACGCCCACATTGTTTCCGCCTATGGTATTTTCGAAAGATGGTAAGATAGCGATTGATCGAATTAGGCTTTACACATTTATTGGAAAGGCCAACAGCGCAGTCGACTAGCCAACCATGCGTGTTTCCTTGGGAATTACGCTTTGCACAACTAACAACCTCTAATATAAATTAATATTTCTCGCATCGATTAGATTGTAGTCAAAATTTTACAGGAGTTCCATTGAATGGTGAGGGTAGCAAGCTCGCAATGTGTCGTAGTCCTTAGCGCAGAAACGCTTTTCGCCTTTATACATCGAGTAGAGCTTGTAGCAAACCTTCTTAGCCATGAAAGACAGGGTATACTTGTGGACGATTTGTTTTGCTTCTGTAATTTTTTAAAAGTATACTAGTCTTAGGTAATTTGCAAGCGCCCCGGTATTTAAGAGCTTACCTTCGTCATAATACGAATGGCGATAACACGGCTCGCTTTCTCCCGTCGGAGTGCATAAAAGCGGTAATGTCTTTAGCACTCCGAAATAGCACTGCTCCTCGATGGGCCCCGATTCCACCAACATTGTCATGAACCATAATATTACGCATAGAACCATTTTCATGTTGCAGCCGTCGTGAAAAGAGAGCACTCGGCTTTTTGTAAAATTTTTTATATAAGTGTCACCCAGGCGTTGACCCCGCCTCTAAGCGTTCCAGTCTCTTGTTCATGGGCTTTTATCGGTCAAGTTTAATTATCCTACATTTCAGGCATCGAAATTCCTAGCATTTTCGGTAAGACATCAGAGGACGATGCATATGTTCAATACATGCATATGTTACATGTAAGTTATAAACTGACAGAAATTTTTAAGTAGCAATTTTTACATTTCTCACGTTTCCGGTTTGGGATAGATAAGCACGTTCATCGCATGACTCTGACAGTACTCATACACCTTTTATGACTAATATTTTGAAGGTCATGTGAATCTTGGAGTTTTTGTAAAATAGTTTGCAAAGAAATGCACTGTTGTAACAGTTTAAACATCGTTCAGGCGAACCTCCTTGATGAGAATAAAATTTGCAACGTGAATTTCCAAGGATTGAATTCGATCAGCGAAGAACAGCTTTACGGAGCCGTAACACTTTTCGCCACCAATCATGCCAGTCCCATTTGTCCCATATGCACGTATGTTGTGCGGCTGGCTGTTGATACGCTGGTCAAGAATCTGGATAAACTAAGTGCAAGTTTAACAATCCAGTATTCAAACAAATGTTTAGGAGGATATAAGGCACTTAATTGAAGCAGCGCTCAAAATAATGCCGCCTGCCGAAACACTGTGTAGCGGGATCATCCCTATATGTAAAGACGCCTACAAAAACGGTAAGTTGTACGCGAAACAGCGTCTACGATAGCTTTTTCTGCATTGGCCTTTTTGACTTTGTAACAGCAAAATGAAAAATTATAGTTTACAACTTTCTGATAAGCTAACAAAAAGAAGTTAGGGGGTTTGTCAAGGTCAAAAAACAGCTCTTATCGTTTTAACAAGTGTTTCGTAATTGCCGATCTCTGAACTTAAATACTTTGTAGGAACTGAGTACAATTCTACCGAATGCTTTAAATGCTCATTTTGCATGACTGGATCCACTTTACTGCAAGTGGGTGATATCATTATGATAACGCAACTAAATTTAGCACAACTTTTTGCAAGACCAAAAAAGAGTGGACGGGTTTGGAAGAATGTTTGAAAAGCTGATTCTCAACGATTTCTGTACCGAGCTGTGTTATGCTTATCCCCCAGGCAATTCGTCAAAGGACAGTATGTTTCCGAATGGAATCTCTAAACAAGAATGTATCGACAAGTCCGAGTTGGCGTACAAAACTACAATAGACATTGCTCGGCATGTCCTACTGCCTAATAACGTCTGCCCAGTGGTAAGTTGCGGTCTCAGCTTTCTGTACGAGTTGTAGATTGGGGTATGCCCACCCAATGCCACGCCTAACGTTCTTCATTGTCTACACGAATATTGTATAGAGAATCAAAAGAAGTTTTCATTTCTTGCCGTTGTATGCGACATGATACCTGATCACCCCGAGGAAGCCGACGAGTATTTGAATATTGCCTCTCAGAAGAAGAAACTGAGAGCCGCAACCGAAAGCCGAGACGAATTATAAACAGCATAACAGGGTTATCCAAAAAAAACGTTTAATATATTCCGTTGTGTAAAAGATGCTTCTTGTGTAATTGTGGCAAACGCGATGTTATGAGTCCTTTGGGTAGCACTTTTGAAGGCAGCTGGGATGCCAGCAGCAAAAGCCTTGGATCAGGTCGATTGTGGACGGATTATGGCATATGAGGCTGACGATCTCCTCCAATTCGGACGAGTGCTGAATTCTCCCTTCAACTGAAAACCAAGGCCGTGTGGATTCAGAAGCAAAAAAATTTCAAATCAATGAGAAATCATTACCTTGGCTATACGCACTCTCACTGAAACATGGCCATTCTTTGCCGGGATAGACGCATTTGGCCGCCAGGATATCCAACGTCTCTTTCTGGCATCCTTGCATTTCGTACCTCCGCATTTCCGCACTGCTAAATCCTTCGGATCCAAAAATTATGCATGCAAAGAGCAGCATTAGCCCAACAATCTTCATGGTCAACCACGCCGGTTCATATGGTAGTCCGTGGAGCTGGAAATGACGCGCCTAATATAATAATAACAGTGTAATTACACGGCAAAACATTTGAAAAGAGGGCCAACGGCGGTGAATTCGGGCTAACTAACGGCCGTTCTGCATAACAGTCCGCGGCCCGACGCACCTGCCCGTTTTTACTTAATAAGTTTTCAGACTCCGCCTCATGACACCGAATCCCTTCGCTGGCCAAAGACTGTTTTGAATGCAATTGTAGTGGGATATTTCAATTGCCTCTTTGTATGGGGTGTAATTACGGATTTAGGAAACATTGCCTAGTGCTTCGTCGAGAAAACAACTAGATTTTGAGGGATTTGTGCCGTTGGATTATTGATGTTATCCCGACAAACTTTGAGACACTGGACTTGAAAATGCTGCATATCAAATGTTAAGCCGAATATCCTCCAAATTTCGAATTATCATTAATAAATCCGCCCGAGCCAACGAGCCTGAACCAGCGCAAATCCGCCTGTTTATAGGGAGTTTAATTGGAAACACCGCTAATCCGACGACAAATGCCATTAGACATTAATCAAGGCAATTACAAAAAAGCTCTCGCATGCGAGTTACGGTCGGCGGGGTTTTAAACAGGAAGCCGCTTTACAAACACGAAACCGGCTCGGCTAAATATACAATGCTAATGAAATCCAGGTGGCTAATTACACTTCTTTCATCGGTAATAATTCATCAGGAACTTTAATGTAGTCTGCCTAATTAGTGGTCCCGTAAAAGATCACACAGATGTAAACAAAGCTGATAAAAGAATGTTGTTGTCCGATTGAGAAGTGTAAATGAGATTTAAAGTTTGTTGAGGTCCTCGTACAACCAAGGCTAGATTTAAGCGGAAATGTTGGGCACGTGAAAAATTCTGTGATTTTCCGCTGTAACATTTTCTTTCTTGTGCCCTCTCTCGACCTGTTATCAAAGAGAGATAGTTAGGCCCTGATTCTTCATGATAAATCGAAACTATAAGCGGCTAATGTAATGTAGGCTTCCCTTATCTGTTTGCAATAAAACACGAATAAGCCGGCAACTTGTATGATTTTTTTCTGCTCTATGCAGTAAAGGAATGAAAAAATAAGGAACAAAAAATGCGTATAAATTTGCTAGAAGACGTAAAAATAGAATCTAGTGTACCAATTAGCCAAATACTCCAACTGCGACGCTCAGATTTTCTTTGAATTTTGCACACACTTCGGGCATTGACGGCGTATCAATTCCTGAAAATTTTAGCTTGCGCTTTGCAGAGGAAGTCGAGATAATCAACGATCTTCGTTGCCGAGGGAGTACGCGAAACGGAGAGACTATATAGAGAAAAAACATTTTTTGTCCGTATCATTGCTAGTTTCTAAACAAATTTATTTTCTGGGGAGACACTCTCTTGAAGCAGATGAAAGATCTTTCAGGCCAAAAAATTGCCAAAGAGTGTCCTATTTTTTCCAACCCTGAAAATCCCGGTTGTTTCTGCAAAACGCGAGTTGAGGGTCTCAACTCTTCTAAATTTGAGTCAAATTTATCATCATAATCTGAGCGTCGCATCTGTAGTACTTCCTCTATTAATGGCGCAATGAATGATGACACTTACAACCCATTGACCAACCAGTACGAGAACTCAAGAGCCAAGTGGTTTATTTAGTGGAACTGAGGCCCTTTATAAGGAAACCTCACTAAAAAAAGTACACTCAGATTTGAATATGTAAATGAAGATAATTTCAAGTGGGAAAATCCTCGAAGCACTATAACCAGCGACGGTAGGATTTTTCATTGACAATAGAAACCATACTGTTTTACTACTTGATCTTTACATGTGATTAGTGAAATTGAATTGAACTGAATCCACAAAACTACTCGTTCCGCCCCACAACAAGGACGTGGCCAATCGATGCCGGGAAGATACCACCATGGGTGCTACCATCCGTAGACCCTGGGAGCCTCAAATTCGACGTCATTATCGATGGACAAAGAGGCTTTTCGGAGAGACCGGCAAATACAAAAATATTATACATCTGTCCCTTCGGTAAGTGGAACACGAGGGCTGGATACTTTCAAATTATGCACTGCAGAGCCGACAAACGGAGCCAAGTTTTTCACCCTTGGTGGTCAACTCTTACTCTTAAAAAGTTACTATTACAAGAGTAATATAAAGTTCTTTTTTTTTGTCGCGCACCTCTGTGAAATAATACGTCAACTGTCCAGAACTTGCAGCGACTTGTGAAATAAATAAATTGAACTTAAAATACAAACATAAATGTCTTCATTCTTGGCGCCGTTGACATTCCTTTGCCGCTTTTGATGACCGTTTCTCCATCGCTAACCCCTAATAAATCCGTCTTATGTAATCATTTTTTGAAACAGGGCATTGAACTCGCACTGTTGTTTTTTCTCTCTCTTGACGGGCGGAGGTCGCGTGAAAGGCGCGCGCAAAAAACGCTTATCCCCCCACGGCCACGGCCAGCGACAGCTGAAGAAGCCGCACACACACCCCCAAGAAGACCACGTCGAAACCGGCTTTTCGCAATCCGCTCATCCCAGAAGGCTTGTTTCGAAGGCGAGGGAGGAGATCCACGTCGCGCGCGCCTGCAGCGATCGGCTCGCACGCCAAAAACGTCTCCTGCTCCACGGAGGCAGAGAGAAAGGAAGAAGGATGGAGGTGAAGGTGAAGATGGTCAAGTAGGGGGTGAGGAGGAGCGGTAAAGAGATTTTTAAGGAAGGGGGGGGGGTGATAATGGTTACGTCGGTCGAAAGTAACGTTTGTTTTTGGGATCCGTTGAGTCGGACGTTTTCAACGGGGACTTTTATTTTTGGTAGCTAGATTGAAGCGTTGTTTTTTGCATTTGGCCTTTGTGGTGGCATCTTCGGAAGTGCTATCAATGTGCCGTCTTTTCTTGATTGCCTTGCGGCTCAACTTCTATCAGTCTGTCGGGAAAATAATGATCACAATGCCGCATCGAAAATTGTGTCGCTGAAGTGAAAAGCAATTTGTTTTTTTCGCGATATAATTCATTTTGTCGGTGGTGCGATTTTTGATGCAACAGAGTGCTCATTATTTTCCCGACAGACTGATACATCTTTATCTCTGAAAAATTAAGGGTTTACATTTTAATTTTGGCCGCTTGTAAGCACCGGGAACTCCATCTAGTATAGTAAATTCCCAATTTCAATTTATTCACACTAACCACATGATAAAAGCATGGAGTGGATCACAATTTTTTTCCATTGTTAGTCAGTATAAGATGCTTTCATCGCTGGTCATGGTGTTTGCGAAAATCATAGATCCATCTCATTCATGGGCGGCAAAATTGTCGTGTATACGGAGGTATCCAATCCAATACTCGATCTTCCCACCTTCCCCCATCCTTTTCTTAGTTCATACTGAGCAAAGCTGACATTTTCGTTTCCACATCATGTGGTTACGTTTTCGTTTCGACGCTTCGAACTTATCTTACGTTGACCGTGAGGACCCGAAGTCCATTGTGATTTATGGCTACTGTCTTGGGCGAAGCTTTTTTTTGCCAGCGATGGCATGGGTGGACAGGAAAACCGACCGCTCTTCGAGAAGAAAAAAGCGGAATTGACAACTATGAAAATTCCCTAGCTACTTGAACTTTTCTGGTCTTTCAACTATTTTCATAGACATTTTCAGCATGAGTTTGTCTCATTACATCTTGAACCTTTCCTCAAAGGTCAGCGAATTAAATTCATGGAGAAACAAACCTTCTATCCGCGCGAATCCTCCTCTTATAGACATCCGTCTTCTTGTCGAAACCAAACCGTTCCCTCGCCCGCTTCCGAACGATCGCATTCTTGCTGAACGTTGCCTATTAAGCCCTCGGGGTGTGTTTATACCCTCCCATTCGAGGATGACTCCATTCTGACGGGGCTCGTGTTTCCAGCGGCGATTTTCGGCGATTGCGCAGCGCGCAGAGGATCAATTGTTTTTTTCGTCGTCGTCGGAAAAACATTTTACGACCAGTGTTATGATTTACAAATATTTCTGTATAATTTTCTTGATGACTTTTTCGCCGTGCCTCGAGGGCTTCGAGGCTTTTGTCTTGTGTGCGGGAGAAGGGAGGGGACGAGCGCCTCTATTTGCTACATGTTTTATGATACAGATCTGGTTTCGCATAAAAATCAGTGGGATCAATGGGATTGGCAGTCACGTATGCGGAGGGCATTACTTGTAGACATTGCGGCGACAATGGGGAGGATAGAGCGCAGTTTTTTTAGTGGACGTGAAATAGTTTGCTATGGCAATGTGTTAGCATGTAGAGGCTGGTTGGCTCACTAATTGCAATTTTTTGAGGTGATATTGGCTTGGCGATTACTATCAGTCTGTCGGGAAAATAATGAGCGCAATCTAGCTGATCGGGTTGCTCATGAAAAGTAATTTGATCTTGCCGCAATGCAATACATTTTCCCGACGGCGATGCGATTTTCGATGCAACAGAGTGCTCATTATTTTCCCAACAAAATGACAGATCTCGTCCGGTAGGCCAGAAAGTTGGATTCATGGCCAAAAGGTCCATAAAGCTATTCAAAAAAGGCTGGATTTATATATAATGCATTTTTCGTGCGATTTTGAAGATTTGGTGTGCGACGGCGATTAGGCGAGACATTTTGCTGCGACAAATCCATATTGTTTTCTCGACAGACTGATATGGTTGAATCAATATAGTAAATCAATTTTTGTCTCCGTTCCAAGTTACTATTGAGTCTATCAAGTAAAGAAAAGGTTCTATACGAGATGTCTCGCCGGATGGGACGTCCTGATGTTTAATCCGATCTCCGATTGCGTCAATTTCTCCGCTCTTTGATCAAAACTTTTTCAACATCTTATCCTCGCCCTTTCGGGTTCTCAAACTCGATCGGATGTCGCGAAAAACGTCGGATGACATTTTTTTGCTCACAAATGACAATATACGTTATTGCGGATGCGTTTGCCATCCAATCCCGCAAAATTT